AAAAAATAGCAAGAAAGAGCAAGGGCTGATGAGAACATGGAGAAATGGGAACTCTTGTGCACTGTTGATTGGAATGTAATTTGGTGCGGTCATTATGGAAAACAGTATGGAATTTCCTCAAAAATTAAAAATAGAACTACATGTCCAGCAATTCCACATCTCAGTATTTATCTGAAGAAAATGTGGACACTAATTCATAAAGATATATGTACCCTCATGTTCATTGTGTCACCAGCTAGACTCCAAGACCTGACCTTAACTGCCCACTTGCTTATACTCACTGACCTTTGCCCACATTTTTCCTTAAGTTCTTTCCAGCTTATCTTTTAACTCACGCAAATGGAAACTGAAGCACCCCTCAAGCAATAGTAACTGCCCTAACAAGACCTTCTGCTGGTCCAGACCACCCAGACTAGTTTGAGCGTGACCCCACTGACCTGGGGTAGTTCCACTGACCTTTGCAGGATATAATTCAGAAACAGCCAGATAGAAGAAATGCATATGGCAAAGTATGTGGGAAGGGCGTGATTTCTCATGCCCTCTCTGGGTGCCACTCTCCCTGCACCAACCCAGAAGCTTTCAGAACTGTCCCCCCCCTCCCCCAAATTCCTGGGCTTTTATGGAAGCTTCATTATCACATAGGCATAGTTGATTAAGTCATGGCCATTGGTGATTGATTCAACCTCCAGCTCCTCCCTTCCCCTGAGGTCAAGCCTCTAATAACCTCTAACAACAAAGTTGGTTCCCCTAGCAATCAATCCCCACACTTAGGGGCTTTCAAAAGTCTCCTCATTAACATAAATATAGATGTAGTGGAAAGGGGCTTGTTATGAATAACAAAAGACACCTTCATTGCGCTTATCATTTAGGAAATCCCAAGGGTTTTACGAACTCTGTGCTAGGAGTGGGGATAAAGACCAAATATATATTTCTTATTATAAATCACAATATTACAGTGCCCCAAATGAGGAGCAAAAGAAAGGGCATCTTGTTACTTTGCACACATCAACTTAGTTTGATTTTAAGTCCCCATCCCACTGGGATGGTAGATAATTTCATCTCAGCCCTTTTGGGGAATTTTTTCCTGTTCTCCAGGGCATGCTTAGGTTATAGGGATTACACAGAGTCAAGATTTTGGAGCGGGTGCCCATGTGGTTTTCAGACTCCTGTCTCCTCATGTTTTTGGGGAGACACTCATTGTCTCTGGCCATGTGGTCTCTTTTGATCTATAGCTGCTGCGTGGGGTGCAAGAGCACCTGTCCCAGAGGGTCCCAAAAGGACCAGGTTTGGCCAGTTGCCGCTGACAAAATCCACAGGCAGAAAGACAAGCAGGGGTGAAATAAGAAAGGAGTTTATTTAGTGAGGCCAACACCAGGAAGACAGCAGACTAGCGTCTCAAAAGACTGTCTCCAAAGTGCTAAATATACTTCCAGGTTTATATAAGGAAAAGGTGGGGCAAAGGTCACTGGGTGCATGCAGCTGGGCAGTTATGGTCAGGTTGGTCAGGTTGTCTTGGGGTCAATCAAGCAGGGTCTTCTCAGCTCAGGACCATCCTTACTGCTTGAGTGAGTAGTTCAGTTTCCATCTGGGGATGCTTTGCCCACAGGGTCTTTTGTCTAAGTTAAGAGATAAGTTGGAGGGGCGCCTGGGTGGCTCAGTCGTTAAGCATCTGCCTTGGGCTCAGGTCATGATCCCAGGGTCCTGGGATCGAGCCCCACATCAGGCTCCCTGCTCCGCGGGGGGCCTGCTTCTTTCTCTCCCACTCCCCCTGCTTGTGTTCCCTCTCCTGCTGTGTCTCTCTCTGTCAAATAAATAAATAAATCTTAAAAAAAAAAAAGATGGTAATGTACAAGTATATATCTGAGTACCTGTTTTTAATGCTCTTGGGTATATACCTAGGAGTGGAATTGCTAGGTTAAATGGTAACTCTGTTTGACTTTTTAAGGAAAAAGGATGTTTTGAGAAACATCCAGTTTCTGTGTCTCCTTATTCTTGGCAACACTTGCTTTTATCTGTCTTTTTGATTATAGCCATCCTAATGAGTATGAAGTGGTATCTCACTGTGGCTTTGATTTACATTTCTCTAATGACAAAGATGTTGAGCATCTTTTCATGTGCTTACTGACCATTACAAAGGACTCTTTTTTTTTTTAAATATTTTATTTATTTGACAGAGACACAGTGAGAGAGGGAACACAAGTAGGGGGAGTGGGAGAGGGAGAAGCAGGCTTCCTGCCAAGCAGGGAGCCCGATGTGGGGCTCGATCCCAGGACCCTGGGATTATGACCTGAGCCGAAGGCAGACGCTTAACGACTGAGCCACCCAGGCGCCCCACAAAGGACTCTTTTTAAAACTTAATTTCGATTTAATTTCACATTTACAGAAAAGTTCCAGAATAGTAAAAAAAAGAAAAAGAAATCCTGTATACCCTTCACCCAGAATCACCAATTGTTAACATTATGTCCCCATTCAAGTTATCATTTCCTCTCTCTGTCTCTGAGCAATCTGAGAGTAATGTGCATTCATCATGCCTCTTTTTCCATGGATAGTTGTGTGAATTTCCTGAGAACAATGGCCTTTTTCTTAAACATGACCTCAGTACATTTATCAAAATCCTGAAACTTAAAAAAAAAGATTAAAGTAATCTCTACAGCCAATGCAGGGCTCAAACTTATTACCCTGAAATCAAGAGTCACATGCTTCACTGACTGAGCCAGTCAGGCACCCCAAAATCCTGAAAACTTAACATTGATAAAATAATGGTCTAATCCACTCTATATTTGAATTTCACCAGTTGTCTAGATATTCTAGATTTGAGTCCAGGATCCGATGTAGGATCACGTTTATTTAGTTGCCTTTAATCTGAAACAGTTCCTCAGCCTTTCTTCATCTTTCATGGCCTTGATATTTTGAGGAGTGTGGGCCAGCTATTATGTAAAATATGTCCACATGATGTTTTCTTGTGATTAGATAAAGATACACATTTTTGGCAGGAATTCCACAAGGGAGTGTCCTCAGGGCATCATAGCAGGAGGCTCATTTTAACCCCAACCTTGGCAATTAGATTTGATTCTTTTTTTTTTTTTAAAGATTTTATTTATTTATTTGACAGGGAGAGACAAGCAGGGGGAGGGAGAGGGAGAACACAAGCAGGGGGAGTGGGAGAGGGAGAAACAGGCTTCCTGCTGAGCAGGGAGCCCGACGCGGAGCTCGATTTGATTCTAGATCAAGTTGGCACCCCTAGATTTGATTCTTTGGTTAGGTAGTATCACTTAGCCTCCATTGAAATTGCTCTTTTTTCTATTGTAATTAATAAGCAATTTGGAGGAGTTACTTTTAGTTGCTATAATATTCTGCTCATTAAATTTCCACTCACTAGTCTCAGCATACTGTGTCTTTATAAAAAATCAGTTCTGAGGGATGCCTCAGTGGCTCAGTTGGTTAAGCGTCTGACTCTTGATTTAGGCTTAGGTCATGATCTCAGCGTCCTGAGATGGAGGCCAGAGTCAGGCTCCATGCTCAGTGGGGAGTCTGCTTCTCTCCCTCTCCCTCTCCAACTGCGCCCCCCACTCGCATGTGCTGTCTCTGAAATAAATAAATATTTTTTAAAAAATCATTTTAGAGGTATAATTTATAGACTTTTGAGTGGTCAGTTGGATGAGTTTTGGCAAATGAGTAGAGTCATATAACGAACACAATAAAAATGTAGAACATTTCTGTCACTCCAAAAAGCTCAAAGGGGGCTCTTCTTAATAATGTGAGACAATAGATAGAAACCCAGACGTGGGCGCCTGGGTGGCTCAGTTGGTTAAGCGACTACCTTCGGCTCAGGTCATGATCCTGGAGTCCCGGGATCGAGTCCCGCGTCGGGCTCCCTGCTCGGCGGGGAGTCTCCTTCTCCCTCTGACCCTCCCCCCTCTCATGCTCTCTGTCTCTCATTCTCTCTGTTTCAAATAAATAAATAAAATCTTAAAAAAAAAAAAAAAAAGAAAGAAACCCAGACGTGTGCTATCCTAATCTTAAAGAACCTTGAATCTCTTTCTGAACCAGGCCTGACCTTAAAGCTCATTGTCTTGGTAGGAACTCAAAACACTTTATCCCTGACTCGATGACTGGGGAAGGTCATACAGTACATGAAAACATATTGGAACTGTTTCCAAAAATATCCCTCCATGCACTAGTAGTTCTGTTTGTCTTCGCTGCAAGGCTCTTGCAGGCCCGATGTCCTCTGAGAGGCCACAAGAGGGTTGGTTCCTTCACCACCCTGGGAGCCCAGGAAACAGAGCAGCTGTTGCCCCATAGTGCTGCTGTCGCCATGTGCAGTGGGGTGGGGACACTTAGAGACCGGGCTTGCTCTCCCTGAGCCCCATGAGAATTGAGTACAACTTTCCTTTCCTGCTCAGAGACCGCCCTACCTACCTGAGGATTCTATGGCCCACACCCTTTTCTCTGCTGCCTGTCCTGGGTTGGGTAATGGGTAGGACAAGAGCTCCCTTTCAGGGACCCCAATCAGTGACTCAATCTATTGCTCCCCTCTCCAACTCTCTCTTTTCCCAGGGCTATGGGATCTTCATCTAGTCTGCCTGGTATTAGGTTTTTTACTGTGCCTAGTGCTCAAGCTAAGAATTGGATTTGTTAATGCCCCCAAAGCCTTTTTCTCCTAAAGCTATTACCTCTGCCATGGACTGTGAAAGTCTAATTTTGAAATTAACAGTTGAGCATTGAGTCACTTCTTTCTGAATTCCTGCAGGAAGTACCCTACCCTCAGCCTCGCGGTACAAGGAAGTAGAGTAGGGAGGGAGGAAGGGGCAAGCCTCATTGGCTAACATTTGTCCATACCATCCTGTTATTGTGCAGTTGATTTGAGGGAAATAGACACAGGGCTTCATGTTTCTGAACCTTAAATATTATCATTATTTACCTACCTTAATTCCTCCTCTTTTTAAATTCAGGACAAACCAGATAAGGAAATCTCTTTATTCACTGTTTTTCTTTTCCAGTAGTGTAGCAGGTGGGAAGGAAGATAAAGGTAAAGTAAAGATGACTGGAGAAACCAATAAGGGATTAGATCCTGTAATGGGATGTGAGCTTGGGCTTTGTGGAATAGAGCACCTGGGCCTGAAGGAAAAGAGAGGCACCTTTCCAAGAAGCTGGGAAGATGGCACATGTGTTGACCAACCAGTGTGAAGTTAACTGAGGACGAAAGGGGCCATGTCCTCAAATATCACCTCAACCTAGGTATGTTTATTTATTGTGCAATAAATAGAATATATTTATGAATACATAATAGAGCTAATACCATTTTCACTTCTCCCAGAATTTTATGGATAGTGTACTTGTTGTTAATTACTTCAAGCATGAATGGAACTTAACAATGAACTTACTGTTTTCCTTTCTATTATATTAGTCTGCTTGGGCTGCCATAACAAAATACCACACCCTGGGAAGCTTAAACAATAAAAATTTATTTTTCACAGTTCTGGAGGCTGAGAAGTTCAAGATCAAGGTGCTGGCAGGGTGGATTTTATCCCTGTGAGGGAGCAAGAATTCCTGTCCCCTTCAAGGATCCTTCTAGCTGGACTAAGAATCAAATTGACACAAGACAGAGTAACAGGAGAAAATTAACAGCATATGTAAAGGAAATCTACATAGACATGGAAATTCCAAAGACAGGCAGGCAAAATGAGGTATATATGGCATTCTGAACTAAGGAGAAGGGGTAGGGGTCTGGGATTTAAGGAATACAATTTACAGGGCAGTAAGAAGAAGAGCAGATAGGGGTGCCTGGGTGGCTCAGTCGTTAAGCGTCTGCCTTTGGCTCAGGTCATGATCCCAGTGTCCTGGGATCGAGTCCCGCATCGGGCTCCCTGCTCCATGGGAAGCCTGCTTCTCCGTCTCCCACTCCCCCTGCTTGTGTTCCCTCTCTCGCTGTGTCTCTCTCTATAAAATAAATAAATAAAATCCTTAAAAAAAAAAAAGTAGATGTTTGGTAATTAGCTGTTTGGTCTGCTATGCAGATGGGTCGCTCAAATAAAATTTATCTTTGCTAATAACCCTTATTCTAGGAAAGAACCAATTTAGATTCTTCTATATAGTTAAGGGAGGGGCAAAATTTTCTCTTGGGCCCACAGGGTCTCGATTGCCTTCAGCTCAAAATAATCCATGTACCAAAATATCCCATCTTGGGGCAGCCTGCCCTTGGCCTCCACAATTCCAAACCCTCTGCCCTCAGCTTGCAGACAGCAGCCTTTTTGCTGTTTGCTCACATGATCTCTTTTTTGTGTGCTTGTTCAAAGAGAGGGGGCGCTCTCTGGTGTCTCTTCTATAAAGGCATTAATCCCACCTTGGAATTCCCATCCTCATGACTTCATTTAATCTTAATTACTTCCACAAAGGCCCTGTCTCCAAATATAGTTATATTTGGGGATAGGAGTTCAATATGTATTGGAGGGGGAGAGACACAAACATTCAGTTCATAACACCTGTCTAAAACTAGTCCTTTTTGTTTTCCAATAGTATACCCTCCCCTAGCTATGATTTCCCAGTATTTGCAAAAAGCCATGGCCATGTGTAGTTCTCCTTCTACAGGAGTTTACAGTGAGCTTTAAAAAAATAAAATGCTTTTGGCCATCTCAGTAGCAAAAGACACTTACATAGACACCAGTATTCTTCTCTTAAATAGTTCTGCATAAAGAACTTTGTTGGAAAGACAGAAAACAGCATTTATTTATTTACTTTTTAAGTAGGCTCCATGCCCAATGTGGGGCTCAAACTCATGACCCTGAGATTAAGAGTCATATGTTCTACTGACTGAGCCAGCCAGGTGCCCCCAGAAGGCAGCATTCAAACTGCAGGTCCTACTATCCCGTTTTTAAAAATACTGTTTATTAACATTCTTAAAAGTACAGAAATATGCAAAGAAAATAATTTGGTCCCAAATCCCACTTTCCAATAATCTATATTGGTTTTTTTTTAAGTAATCTCTACACCCAACATGAGGCTCAAATTCATGACCCCAAGATCAAGAGTCACATGCTGTACCAACAGCCAGCCAGGTACCCCCAATGTTGGTATTTTTAGAAAGTAATATATGCAAGAGATTAGAAAAATTCAGATAGTGCAGAAAGTATAAAATGAAAAGTGAAACCTCCATCCCTCACTGTTCCAACCCTTTACCCCAAAAGTAACTTGTTAATATTCATTCATTCATTGATTTAAAGTACTTGTTGAGGGGCACCTGGGTGGCTCAGTCCATTAAGCATCTGACTCTTGATTTTGGCTCAGGTCATAATCTCAGGGTCATGAGATAGAACCCCAAGTCGGGCTCTGCACTCAGCGGGGAGTCTGCTTAGATTGTCTCTCCCTCTCTGCCCCTCCCCGCCTCGAATAAATAAATCTTAAAAAAAAAATAGTTGTTGAGTACCTGCTATGTGCTGAGTACTGTTCTGGGTGCTGGGATTACAGTAGTGATCAAGATGTGTCCAGTTTTCACTTCATGGCACTTGCACTGTCCACTTGCACATGGACAAGGCAGGTGATAAACACATGGGGCGCCTGGGTGGCTCAGTCGTTAAGCGTCTGCCTTGGGATCAGGTCATGGTCCCAGGGTCCTGGGATCGAGCCCCGCATCAGGCTCCCTGCTCGGTGGGAAGCCTGCTTCTCCCTCTCCCACTCCCCCTGCTTGTGTTCACTCTCTTGCTGTCTCTCTCTCTGTCAAACACATAAAATATTATCAGGTAGTGGTAAATGCTATGAATAAAAAGCAGTGTGGGTGAGTACAGGGATGGGATAACTGGGTGATGGGCATTAAGAAGGGCACGTGATGTGATGAGCACTGGGTGTTATATGCAACTGATGAATCATTGAACACTACATCAGAAACTAATGTTAGCTAATTGGATTTCAATTAAAAGAAAAAAGAAATGCAAAAAGCAGTGTGGAAGAAAGGAGAGGTTGCAAGCAGAGGACTATTCTGAGCTATGGCCTGCAGTGAGGGAGTAAGCCTCTGAATATCTGGGGGAAGAGCATTCTAGAAAGAGCCTAAGTGTGAAATCCAGGGGTGAGAGTTTTCTTCCTGGGCCAGCACTATGTCCACCATTCCTATTGTCTTTGAAATCTGTGCTGAGTGCAGCAGGCATTTATCATCACATTCGTCCAGTTCCCTCTTACAGTAAAAACAAAATTAATAAAGGGAAACCTAACTAAAATGGAGCCGGGAGACCAGAAGGGGGAGCTCTCCAGCCCTACCACTCTGCATCAATTACTGGAAAAACTGTCACTTCAGACCCCAGCAGAATTGTCAACAGGAAAGAATCATCAGTTATAAGCACCAACGGGAGAAATGTACATTACATCTCTTCAGCAACAAAGCCAATGAGAAACCGTCATCACCCTGTACTCTTGCTTTACTCCAATGGACTTTCCTTCAAAACAACCCCTCCCAACTTCCTCTTCCTTCTCCAGAAAATAACATTCCTTTCCTTTCTTGGACTAGCCTATGGTTTTTGCCATAGCTTGCTTGTCCCACGTTGCAGTTCTCTGCTATTCTTGAATAAACTCATTTTTGCTGCTAAAATAACTGTTTTATTTTTAAGGTCATCAAAAATGTATTTGTTACACATAGGTATCTGTCAAAATTGAAATAAAGTGAAATAGACTAGAGGCGATATCCATTTCAAGAAAAATGAGAGAAAGCAAATTCGCTTGGGGAAGTGGTCTTTTCTTCGCTTGTTACGTTACCTGTCTGGCTCCTGTAAACGTTTGAGCTTGCCACCCCAATAGAGAGCTGACTCCCTCATTTGCCAAAGAGGATCTGAGACTATAACAGCACTCCAATCAGGAGTTAAGGGTTAAACTGCTTCAAGTTTCTGTGCTCCCAGCTTGCTGACCTAAGCTCCCTTCTTGCTGACCTAAGTCTCTTTGTCTATAGCAGAACTAACCTACTTTCCTTGAGATTTGCAGGCCACTGGCCTTGAGGAGTGAAGGCCCAGACTTTTCCAGAAGGTAAGCCCTGACCACCATCTAAAACACGTGCCACTGATGCTGGCCAGTCTGTTCAGGGTCATGTCCACATATGACTAATTGCCAGGGCACTGCTTCTGCATGGAGACCCCTACCTCCCCTTCCCCATTTCCAGTGCCATTCTCTGCCTAGTAACAAGACCTGGGGAGGATGGGCGTCTTGCCTAGATCTCACATGGATTTAGCAGTACGTTCCTTTTTACCTTGCCCACCATGGCAAAGATTAGTAACTATGTGTGACAAGCATTTATTTTCATAGTGAACACCTATTAAAGGAGGGTGGTTTGAAAAATAAAAATGAAAACAGGTGGGCTGTATCCTAAGTTATTAGGCTGGTTAGCCTCGGTTGGAATTCCCTAATGCCAAAGGTCATGGGAGGTTCACACACATTGTCAAGAGAGGAGGATGAGAGAGAAGGAGGGCAGTGGACAGCCTGGCCTGAAGGCCCCATCCAGGTGGCAGTGCCGTCCTGGCGCTCCAGCTCCATGGTGCTTTTGTTCTTTTCACTTGAATCCGGCTGTTGCAGGTCCTTCGGGTACATGCGTGTGGGGTGCAGCGTCAGACTATAGAGAGAACACAGGCTCTGAGTCAGCAGGCCTGGGTTCAAATGCTGCCTCTTTCTTACCACCAGGAGAACCTAGAAAGATTTCTTCGTCCTTCTAAACCTCAATTATCCCGCCAATAAAATGGGAGTGAAAATGCCTGTTTTGCAGGGTTGCAATGAAAACTCGGGGAGGCGGTACATGCAGGCAGTTGTAAGAGGCCTGATGTGTTGGTTCCACTCTACTCCTACCTCTTAGCCCTCTGTCCTGAGGGGATTCTGGACAGCACTAGTCACAAGGAGACTGCAAAGGCTGCTGGTGACTTTCTTCTCTCGTGCTGGTGGCCACATTTGCTTTGCAGGTGCTCTTTGACAAGAGACCATCAGGGCTGGTGATGCCAGTGTGCAGCCTTTCAGATGTGCTGGAGGATAAAAGGCCCTGCCCTGAGTCCCTGGAGTGCCTCCACGCACCGTGCAGACAGAATATCTTGGCCCCTCCACACCTGAGCAGACCTGGAAACGGAAAAGGTAACACCTGGCACAGCAGGGTACCCCACACAGACTGCTGGCAACTGTACTCGTGGCTCAGTGGTTGAGTCACGCTGATTGTTCAACATTTTGAATAGCACCCCAGAAAGAAGGAACAGGTTACCTGCCACCAAAGCCTTATTGTCACCACCTTATCTTCAGAAGAAGGCAAGGACCAACTTCGCAAAGGGGGCTGTCAGGAAGGCAGTGGCTTCCAGGGTCTTTGTGTAGTTGCTCTAAACTGTAAACCCATGATCCTTGACTAAATAGCCTTTAATCCACTTGACAAACGAGTTCTGAGGCTCCCAGGGAATGCCTGGGGCACCCCTCTGTCTGGAACAAAGCCTGGTTTTGTTTCTCGGTAATCCCAAACCTGTTTGCTGTAGCACCACCTCTTTGCTTCAGCGTTTTATCTGTTGTTTTCACCCTCCTCTGATAAGCTTTCTAATTGCCTTACAGGGGAAAAGAAAAAGACCATTTGCCAGCAGTCTTTTTGGGCTCCTTAGCTTCAAACATTCTTCTGACACCAGCCCACAGTAGACATGGCTCATGGCGTTTAGTGTTGCTGGGTGGCCCCAGAACCCCACAGCTGTGGCAGTTCTTGCTGTTCTTCTAGTGGCTTCACAATCCCACTGTGAGGTTCCCTTGACACTGCAGAATCTCTGTCCCCCTGCCGCCCTTGCCCCGTGTAGAGAGGGGTTCACCCTTCCCAATGCTGTGCGACAGCCTCTGTTGCATCTTTGGGCACGTGGAAGTGAATTTGTCTTATTGTCCTGTAGAAGTAAATGGAAATACTTATTTTGCATAAATTAATACATGGACTAGGGTCGGCCTCCATCTTTCTGGTTTCTGGAGAGTGAAAACTGTAAGGCCTGACAGTCTCAGATCCTAAATACAGAAGCCTCTTCACCTCTGGACTGAACACTTGAAACCAAAACATGTCCTTTTGCCGATGCTCATTTGAGTCCATTTTTCTAACACAGATGACAAGATCCTGACTAGTGCAGAAATTGGTCTTGCCAATGGGGTATCACCGCAGACTCTAAAATCAAACAATGACGGGGTTGGGTGGCTCTTCAGAGCGGATTGTTCTTTCCTGGCTGGAAACTTGACAATTCTCATATACTGGATATTTTTCCGTCTGCCCTTTCAGGCCCACCTGTCATGAGGGAGGCAGGAGGAAGCCCCTGGGAAGATGTGTAGGGGTGAATGGGATCCGGATGGCGCCTCTGGTAAAACCAGGGAGCTGGAGGGAGAGCTGATGGAATAGACGGGTGGGGCGGTTCTCATCTCCCTTCTCTGTGAGATAAGAAGCAAGATTATCTTCTGGGTGTCAAGGAGGCACAGGTGGATGGCAGGTTTAAGAGAAGTGATAACAATCTGGGAGGGCTCCAGAAAAGGATGGGAGAGTGACTGACAGGAAACAAGTACTCGATTTGGAGACTGGTGGAGAGGGGGCTCCACCAATCCTAGGAACCCAACCCTGATGAGGCATCACTCCAAAGGAGAGCCAGCTGGCTGTGTGTTGCTCTCTGAATGCTGAGCAGCTCTGTGGGGGCAGAGCTGGGGCAGGGGGCTTGCGGGCTGATGGACAGGCAGGGATAGTGTGGGCACAGTGGAAGACGGGGTGCTGAGGAGCTCATGCTCTGGCTGACATCCTACTGGAGTCCACCCTCCTTTGCATGGCAAACTGCAGTCAGTGAGGTAGCAGCTCTTCCCACAGTAGCCCAAATTCCCAGAAACAGCAACTGAGAAGATAGGAGGACACCTGAGGCACAGGGGGGAATGTGCCATGACCACTCTTACCTGGCTTTATGGGCTCCATGAGAAATTGTCCATAGGAACAATGTCCATTAGGAAGATTCCATTTCAAAGCCTGGCTTGTAAAGGCCATCTTAAAACAGTCTTTAGGTTTTAGGTGGTGAGAGAGGACAGCATGTTCTCTCCCATTGCCACCTGATCAATCAAATGTCAGCAAGACTGAGCCTCTGCTAGCAAAACAGTGTTTCCTATTCCAAAGACAGCTCTTCCCAAGAGATTAAAAATTAGACCAGTAGTTGTCCACTAGAAAACTCCTGAACATTCTTTGTCATAATTATAGCAGGGAATAGAAAACCTAGTTTATAGAGTGTTTTATGTTCACTCTTTGCCATCTGTTACTTCCTGAGTCTTCACAATAGCCCTGAGAGGTAAGTAGGCTCATCCCACTATTTCTATATTTCAGTTGATGATGTGAGGTGCACCCACCCTCATTCTTCCTCCCTCCTTTGCCCTGCTCCCTGAGACTATAGTCATTTCCCTCTGACAGTGTATGGAACTCTACGATTTACTAGCTAGTCACTGGATTTTCCCCCAGTCTCAGGCCTTGCTCATTGCTGCTTAAAAGCCATAATACAGTTTATTACAATAAACGTTTTAAAGGCTCACTTGTAAAATGGACTTGGCAAAAAGAATAGATACACATAAAGGGCCAAGCAGTGTTTTTTCTGTATCATCTGTCTCCCATGGGAGGGAGGAGTCTATGTTAATTAAATTAAAAGACCAACCACCTATCAATTTAGCAAACGTGAATCCCCCTGGGTTACAGTAAGGGAAGTTGTATTTCTGAAAATAAAATAATCCTGGATTGGAACTTGAAAGGAAGGAGTTGCTGTGCAATCAGAAGGCACCGAATGGGCACTCGATGAATATTTATCAAATCAACGTATCAAGACTCCTGCATGTGCCAATACTTTGCCCACCTTTTCTCAAAGGCCTATCTGTGAACTACAGGGAAGCAATGTTTGGGGATCATCAGGAAAGATGTTTACCCAGTAGATATGACAAGATGTCACATGGTATCTCATAAAATGTGAAATTGAAGCTACTTCTGAGAGAAAATTAGCAAGTAAAAACCTACATGTACTGAGATCATCCATTTATAGAAAGCAGCTGCTCCAACCTTCCCTTTTCCCCAGAATCACCAGCTGCAGACGGACCTCATGATGGAAAGGGTGTGTTCCCAGTGAAGTGTGACCTCGTGCTTGTGGCTGTGGCACTGCCCTCAGTGTGAAAGCAAATGGTACATCACAGAGACAAAATCCAGCAGAGCATTGCCAACACTTCCCAGAGTAGAGGAGGCTTGGGCCACCAGACTCTGGGGCAGGGGGTGGGGGAGTGGAGGTAGAGGGATGCAGCAAGCTGCTGTTGCTTGGCGTTACCTGCCTCTATAAAAAATGATGACATCATGGGCGCCTGGGTGGCTCAGTGGTTAAGCGTCTTGCCTTCGGCTCAGGTCATGATCCCAGGGTCCTGGGATTGAGCCCCACATCGGGCTCCCTGCTCCGCAGGAGGCCTGCTTCTCCCTCTCCTACTCCCCCTGCTGTGTTCCCTCTCTTGCTGTGTCTCTCTGTCAAATAAATAAATAAAATCTTTAAAAAAAATAAAAATAAAAAATAAATGACATCACCCTTTATCAGGCTCTGGGCTGAATCTTGAGACACAGTCTCTCATTTATTTTTCATGCCAATCTTTTGAGAACTTGGATTAGAACCTACTTCTGTCTTAACCTGTGCACAAATATTGCTCTGATTCTGCATTCACCCAGCTCCTCAGGCAGCATTTTCTAAAGGAGGAGACTGTGATCAACAGAGACCATGAGATACAGCCGAGAGTGAATGCTGGGAGCAAGCAGATCAGAGTTCTGATTCAGATACTTTCATTTATGAGCTGTGATAGACAGTGAGAGGGTCTTCTCTTTCCTTATCATTCTCTTTCTTCAAGTGAGAAGACTTGGTGACCTCACAGGGAAAATCCCTTTGCTGCTACAGGGAAGCCTCTCCATACGTGTTCTTCCTTTCCTCATTCCCCTTGTCAGTGTGATGAGGGGAACTTGGTAGGTCGACATTCATCTATGGGTTTCTTGGGAGTTTGGTACAACCCTGTGGATTCACAGATCAGAGCAAGTAATGGGTTTGTCCGTATACTCGGATGCCGAGCATCACAGCCCAGAATGTGGTAGTCCCAGCAGGACACTACTCCCCATAAAGACCTGGCTGCCAAGCAAGCCCACTTCCCAGGAGAGTTTCTTCACTTTGTTCTTTTTAACTGTAGCAATATTAAATATATTGGCACAACACTGTCTGCGGCCTTGAAAGTCCGTTTCAGAGTTGAGCAATGGAATATTTTCTCTCCCAACAGTTGGAGCTTGGGAGGGCATGGCAAATGTCCTGGGGCCAGCAGTGACTAGAGGAAGAGGCTGGCTCAGAGAGAGGGTCCTGGGGCAGGTGCAGACCGTGTGTGCTCCTTCACAAGCATTTGCATCTGGTGGGGCAGAACACGGAGTGCGAGCTTTGCATCCTGTCAGGGGCAAACTAGTCTGCTTGTAGTTACTCTGTGATAGGCTATCACATAGCCTGAGTATCCCTGACAGGGGAGACAGCTCTGTTGAGTCCCAGGGACTGGTCCAAAAAATGAACCAAGTCTCCAGGTTCTCAACAAACAGTTTTGTGATAATAATTCTCAGCCCCTATTTGCATGGCACTTTACAGTTTCTATCACCCCTTCCACATGCATGGCTTAATTTAAATCTCACTGCAAGCCTGGTGGCTGGTATCACTGGTCTCAATTTATACAAGAGCAGCAGTGCAGCAATGGCTCCCATTTCCAGTGCACATGTTGGGTGTCAGGAACTGTGCTGGGCACTTTTTGGCCACTCATTCACTCATTCAACAAGTAGCGCCTACTGTGTGCCTGGTACTTCTCTGAGTGTTGAGAATAAAACCATGAGCAAAAGAGTCAAAACGCCTGCCCTAAAGGAGCTGACAGTCTAGCTGAGGGGAGGCAAGCAATGACAAATGAACAGGTAGGTCACTGTGTCTTAGGTAGGTGATGATCTGTGCTTTGTAGAAAACTAAAGCAGGGAAGGTGAGGAAGAAGTAGTGTGTGGGGGCTGGCATGTGGGTGGGATGTTGTATAATTGCTCAGGAAAGGACCTACCGAGAGGGTGACATTTAGGTAAA